GCCGTTTATAATATTCTATAACACAAAGGTTGCGAAACTTTTTTAATGAATAATAATTACTTGGCGGAAACATAAATAAAATAACAAACAAAATATTATAATAAGATTGAAAGAATATTGATAAATTATTATAATATAATATTTGAGAAAATATATATAGCCATTTTGTGAGATATATATGTATATATGTACTAGTTTTTGCCCGCGACTTCAACTGCATTAGTTTCAGAATTAGAAATGTATATCTGACTGAGTGGACTCTATTCCTCCTTAAAGATTTTTTCTCGGCGGCATCGTAACGTAATTAATCAAAGTGAGAAAACTTCTCGCTCACTTGAATGATTGTCATATTAGTTAGTTGTAATAAATCTAATGTCAAAAAAGCCGTTTTGTATGGGAAATATAAAAGGGCCGTTTTTAGGGTTTTCCGGGCAATGAATCAATTTTTTTCAGCTTTTAAACCTTCCCTGAACCTCCACGAACATTTCAAGACTAAGATACGATAAATCCGTTCAGCCGTTCGCGAGTTTTAATGAGACTAAGGAACAGCAATCCATTTTTATATACAGGGTGACTGGTGAATTACTATGGATACTTGAGGACGTGATATTTGACGATCATATATGACAAAATAAAAATTAATACAACATAAATATTAATAAACTTCTAAGAATAGTTAACCAAAAGTTATGTAATTAATTACGCATCGTGTGAACACCCTACAGATTAGGTATACACATACACACACACACTCGCGCGCGGCGGCGTGCTGATACAACACCACGCCGCCGCGCGCGTCCACACTTGGAACACTTGGAACGTGTCCACAATTTATTTATTTATACGGAAATTTGTTCAAAAATTAAGTACCTATTTTTTTTTTCCATAATTCGAATGAGAATCATGTACCGAGTATTCTCCTTAAATATTAATAGTAATTCACCAGTCACCCTGTATATAGTAGATAGATATGTATCTATCAAAAATGCTTAAAAGAGAATGTCGAACACAAAACTATTAATTCAAATTGAAACTATATTACTTTTATATTTTAATTTTTTTAAATCTGTACCTTTCAGAAAAATCTAAAGAAATAAATAGGTATAACGTCTACTATCTATTTAATTACAATTATAAACAAAATAGAGTTTTACAGAATCCGAAACATATACATATTTGATAATAACTTTGACAGTTGTTTTTTTCGACAATCGCCTGTCACAAACGCTTCTTATGTAGTCTTGTAACTAGTGATAAGTGTATTAGAGTACCTATATCCTATAATATATTAATATTAATATGTTTTTTGCTCTTTTATTTATGTACTATAATATAATGAAAGGATTTTAAAGAAACATTTCAATAATAAAAAACAGAATATATACTACAATTTGTTACTTAATTTAAGATATTAAGTATGTACGAACACATAACAGTTGTGTATAAAATCCCATGTTATCATGTTACAGACGGTAGATGTCGCTCTTGTCGTTTAACCTGTCTAAAACAATAAATGTAATAAGTTCTCTTTGAACAAAATATAGAAAACAAAGCAGAAAATGTCGGGTACATACACTAGTCTATATAAAATATAAATAAGCTGCAAGGCAATCAAAACTCCAGCGGAACCCACTATTGATGCGAGGAAACCTTACAGATGCAGTTCTTTAATAATATTAAAGTATTTTAGTTCCTTCATAATAATTCTAAATGAATTTTTATCGATTTTATCTTTTCATCGTTAATACGAAGAAGTATAAATGCTGACGCTTCTGAGGTTTTAGATCTACTGGAACATGGACCTAGTAACATAAAAACATTACGAGTATATAACAAAACATAAAATAATAGTTATTATATTGATTCAAATATATTATATAATATCGGCTGTTAACTGCTGTAGTTAAACTTAAGTCTAGCCACAGAAGTCCCCGTCTAATGTACATTTTATTAAAGTTACAAGGACTCTCCTGGTCAGAATCGATCTAGCCAGGAATCATTTTTAGAAAATGTAATTTTATGAAAAAAAAAATACGCCTCCTGCGTTTAAAATATGACTCTTTCTGACATCTATCGATAAATAGTAATACTACTTGTTAATTAATCTAATTGCTTTAAGGGCACAACAGCAGAGGGCGTTGTTAAGTACCAGGAAGTCAATGAGTGTTTGTTTTGTAGTTGACTAAGAAATTAATTGTTGATTTATATTGTTTTGCGTCTTCTTAACGTGTTCACTTAAAATGCCTAAACGAAATAAAAAAAAAAACAAAATATATAGTAACAAAATATATAATACTAAATACCGAGCAAAGCTCGGTAACCAGATTTGGTAAGGTTATATTAGATAATGTTCATTGGTATATCCGAGCGTAGCCAACTCATCCGCGTGGTTGGCGCAGACCTTTCGTTGCCGGCAGTGGTCCAGGCCATGGTCGGCAGCGAGAGGGCATGGCAGGCGGTGGCCGACTTCAGCGAGAGAGTCATCTTGCAGAAGGAGGCTGCTGAACGAGTGAGGGAAGACGACCCCTCCTCGGCGCCGCTGCGCCGACGAAGGCTGGGTCGAAGGCAGCGGGCTTATGCTCGCGACCTGCCTCCCCAGTGAGGAAGCCTCCGGGCGTCGGTGGGGAACCGGCGTCCGGGTAACATAGGCTAGAGGAAGAGCGGCGTGTTTGGCGTTCCCGGCACGCTGCTCTTGAGTCGGAGGGGTGGTGTGGTCAGCCACTGATACCCCTGCCGATGGCGGAGTCCCTTTCGGGACTCGTGCGTAGTGAGCGGAAGTATGGCTTGCCGTTCCCGCTCACTAGTCCACGCACAGCGCAGAGAACGTCGAGGTGGTTTAGTGGGTGGAAATCCCACATGCCCCTGTCGCGTTTCCCCCGCGGCAGGAAGTCTTTAAAAGATTCCCCTCGTAGAAAAAAAAAAAAAAAAGATAATGTTCATTGGTAGTGTTGGTTGGATCAAGGAGTTTATTATAGAAATACATGATCAGTGTTGCAACCATCTTCAAGATCTTTGGAGGAGTGATAGCTTTAACATAACACAACATCTATTGAGTATAGGGTGTGTAATTAGAAATATAAGATTCTAAAAGTACTTCAGTCGAAACTGTTATATTTTATTGTATTTCTAAGTAAATCCCGGATCGTGTCTCCTCCATTCTACACGATACTGACTGAATATACTTTCCACTAGTTTGCACGGAGAAGGATAATTTAAAACTAACAACATGTAGTATTGTTGAAGTGGTAGAGCCTAGCTCGAACATGTGCTAGCTCGATCGGTGAAGTAAACTTCTCTCACAGAAGATCGGCGTGAAGTAGCCTTTAATGACTGCGTTTGGTCCGGTGAGTGAGAGAACCGATTGCTCGTTCCTTTTTCCCATCCTTTCCTACCCCTCCAATTTTCCCTCCCTTTCCTACCTTTTCCTCCCACTCACCCCTAATCAAGGGTTGCGACTCATCCGCTACATAAGAAATGTTGCAGATGTCCATGGGCGACGGTACTACCTCCAACAAGTAGGCCGTCTGCTCGATTGCCGCCTTTAACATAAAAAATAATAATAATAAGTATTTAACAAATTCACTGTGTGTTCCGTTGATTGCATTCAGATGCTTCAATAGGTTATTTGTCACATTACCAATATCCATTTGTTATATTCGATATTTGTATTCTGAATTATGATGTACAATATTATTTGGCCGTTTCGTATTATTATCGTATTCTGTATTAATAGTAACAGAAACTTTCCAACGCATTATACTTTTGTTGTAAATATTTCCTAAGATCTTATTAACATTTTGCATTAAAATAGAAGGTTGAATTAAGTATACTGAATTAACTACTTCTTCTTCTTCCTGGCAATTTCTCAGCTTTAGTCAGGGTCTGCTACTGATTTGACTACATACATACTACAGATTACTTAAATTAAAATTTTTGTTTTAACTTAGTTTTATATTCATTGACATACTAACTGTTGCCTGGGGCATTTCCCGCACCGTAAACTTCCCTTGAACGTTGAAATACACGTAATAATCCGTGTGGGGTTTCATTTGGTTATTCGTGAAATTCTTCATGAGATCTTGACTTGGTAATGACTTCTCTCGACATGTTTTTCGATTAAAAGTCGGTCTTTGTTGAATCAGAAATTAGTCCAACAAAATGAAATTAAAAGGTTCCTCCTTTTTGAAATTGGTTTAAAAGTAACCTAAGTTAAAGCGTGTGGCCTGTCTATTATTTACGACAGAAATTCCTGCAAAATCAGACCTGTCATCCTAGAGATTAGCCGGAACGAACAGACAAAAAGAAAACAAAGTGCATATTATTTATACTCTATGAATTCATATTCGTCATCAGCCTATCAGAGCCCACTGCTGAGCAAAGGCCTCTCCTCACACGGAGAAGGTTTGAGCATTAATCACCACGCTTGCTCAAGACGGGTTGGCGATTTCAAACTTATAATTGTGAAATTATAAGTCCAGGTTTCCTCACGATGTTTTCCTTCATCAATCAGTGGTGTCTAAATACTCTTAGAAAGTACATATGACTCGGAAAAATCACATTGGTACTTGCCAGGATCGAAACTACGCCCTCATGCATGAGAGGCGGGCCGTTAAAAACTAGGCCACCACTGTTCATATGTTCAATTCATATTATTCAGTCATATTATTTATTTAATACATAAAAAGATAAACAGCTAATAATTTTAATTTTATCAGTTACTTTCATTTTTAGTATCGCCAATTCTTTGTTTCTGTAATGTCTGGTTACTGTTGGGATCGGTAGCTCGTTGGAGACAATTAAAAGGCGGTGGACTGTATAAATGATGTGTATTGTTCCATATAAACAGGTACGCGTGTGCGCGTCGAGCGATGTCGCAGCTCACTAATGGACCGGGCGTTGGCCGCCGCGGTGCCACCTCTCTCGCTCGGGCAGTGATTGCTGCGTCCCTTTCTGGATGACGCAACATACTCCCCCGGTTGAAGTTTCTTCAACAGCAGTGACTAGAAGAGGGCAGATGGTATTAAAAGCTCGTCGTAAGACGCCTCTACGTGTGCGGATGTCGGCAACCCTTCCGAAGCCATTTCGTTCGTTCCCTTGTAGGTTGCAGATGTTGGAGCTGTGGGCTGTGAGCATGTCAGCATGATTAAAGATCGCCCAATGAGAAAGTGTGAAGGAGTCAAAGGGGAGAGGTCTGGAGGATCACTGGATAGTGGCGTTAAGAGGTTTGAATTCAGCATTGCCTAGTCAAGCCTAAAATGCGTCTAAGGTGATGTTTGGTGGACTTGACTACAGACTCCCAAAGTCCTCCGAAGTGATGGGTATATGCAGGAATAAAAGAAAAGTTTATACCTGTATCAATAGAACTCAGTTGCAAATCTTGAGGAAGAAGGCTAGCTAGCTCGTTGAAGGCACCTACAAAAGTAGTAAGGTTGTCAGAAAAGACGTTATGCGGCTTTCCTCTCCGAGCAATAAAACGATTCATCGCGGATGAGAAAGCTTCTTTCGTGAGGTCAGAAACAAGCTCAAGGTGGACTGCTCTTGTTGCTAAACACACAAACACACAAATAAAACTTTTAATGAGTCTACAACCTCTACCTTTACGATCAGCTATCATGATAGGGCCGGCGTAATCTACCCCTGTATCTAAGAAAGGAAACTCTAGATGAAGGCGCTGCTCTGGTAGGTTACCCATGATCGGTTGAATTGTGTTAGCTTTATTCCTACAACACCTAACGCATTGATGCGTAACCCTTTTTGCTAAGTTTTACATTTGTTTATGATGATGACTGTTTTTTACATTTATTAATGAAACGAAAGATATAAGAAACGACTCCTTGTAATTTATTAAAATCTGAATACTTAGAATAAAAATTTAATAACATGTTTTCTTGTTTGATTTCTACATGATGACAAGCTATAGTTTCAGGTATGTTATCAGATAGTTGATGAGGAAAATTAGGCCAAGAAGATGGACTTTTTTGTAAAAACTGTGGACCTGACCACCACAAAGAAGATGATGACAACTTGTCAGCTCTAGGTCCGCGCGAAGCGAGGTCTGCGGGGTTCTCAAGAGACGGAACGTAACGCCATGAACATGTCCCGACAGAGTCTTTAATTTTGCAAACGCGATGACGAACAAAGGCTAATATGGACTCGTTGATATGTAGAGTCAATGATTGACATACCTTTGTATATAAGCGTGAATCTAATAATGCAGCACAAAGTTCCAGCCGAGGCATCGTGGTTGGTTTGATGGGAGCCACCTTACTTTTAGCAGTAAGAAGATGCACGTGAACTCTGCCATCTAATGACTCGCTGCGAACATATACACATGCACCATAAGCCTTTTCAGAAGCATCTGAAAACATATGTAAGTCGGGTTGCATATGATCAACAAGCATACATAACTCAGAAGACGAATTACGATGAGCGACTGAACCCGAAACGAGCCAACCAAATTTTGACTCTATTAAAGTGGGCAAATTTTTACCTAATGCAATACGATTCGCGCCTATTATGTTCCAAAAGACTTCCGCGCCACAAAGAATGTCAATTGACGACGGAATATTGTAGTCAGGGTCGGCAAGACGAATGTTTGTAGGTATAGGTATAGTACTTACGTCAATATATGTGTTAGGAATTGAAGATGAAATTTTCGAGAGGACTAGACAACTAATTTCAATTGTAAAATCTCCCTTAAAAGATTGAATGGAAATTGAACAAGCTTGCGAACAATCAGATGTTTGTTGATTAATACCAATAACCTTAGAAGGATTTTTATAAGTAGAAATATGAAGCTTACGAATTAAGTTATCGGAAATGAAATTAACCGTGCTTCCATTATCCAGTAAGACCCTCGCAGTATGGAGGTTGCCCTTGGCGTCCACCACCTTCACGAGAGCTGTGGAAAGGAGAACAACGGATGAATTAGATGAGTTATTAACAGAAAGAGAAATGTTTGGTGTGTTGTGGGAAATTGCACTATTCTCTATATGAAGTAAAGAGTTATGTTTTTCACGACAATACTTGCAATGTCCTAATTTGCACTTAGAGGCAATATGACCTGGACGAAGACAATTAAGACATACTTTGACTTCGTGAGCCTTTTTAATGCGTGACTGTATAGATAAACCTTTAAAATTTTCACATGCAAAAATAAAATGATTTTGATGACATAGAGGACATGATATATTTTTGTTTTCACAATTTATTATGAAACTTTTAGATTTATTAACAAAGTTATTCTTAAATTCGCTTTTTGATTTTAATGAATTTGACTCCTCTAGTGTCTCTAGTAAGTCAGCTCTGTTACTTAAAAATGAAATAAATGTTGAAAGTGTAGGAGGCTCAGACAGGGTATTTCTGTGCTCTTCCCACTCACGACTCGTCACTTGGTCTAACTTGGATGCCATAATGTGTATAACCAGTGTGTCCCAGTACTGAACAGGTTGATCGAGCGTTGAAAGGGCTCTCAAATTTTTATTTGTTGTGTCGATAATATGACGTAAACACTTACTGGACTCTCTGCTGATTGCGTTCACATTAAAGAGTGCTTGCACATGGTTGTTGACTAGTAATCTTTTATTGTCATACCTCTCACAGAGTAACCGCCAGGCAGCGTCGTAGTTATCTGATTTAAAATCTAAATTGTCTATAACTAACAATGCACTACCCTTTAATGAAGCTCGAAGATAGTGTAACTTATTTATTTTATCAATGTTATTATTATTATGAATTATGGAAATAAAAGTATCTCTAAATTCCAACCAATCATGATAGATACCGGAAAATTTTGGCAAATCAATCTTAGGTAAACGCACTGAGCTGTGTGTGTGTGTGTTATTAGCACAAGAACCCACCTCGGAGTTGGCATCGGCCTTGAGAAGTTGTCGAGAACTGCTTATCAGCTGGCGCGCAGAGGCCACCAAGTTGTAGAACTGATTTTCGAATTCCTCACGCTCCGTATATTGTTCGTCAGGAACGTCCGCCAACGTTTCCAAGTCATTTTGTAACGTGTCGTATTTTTCGTATAAGCCTTCGAAAATATTAAGTCTATATTCAATTTCAATGACTTGCAATTCACTTAACTTTTCACAAGATTTTGAAAGATTGATATAAGATGCAAACTGAGTAAGCTTAGCCTTAATTGATGCACGCTTCTTGATTAAGCTTTTAAAATCAGACATCTTTTTAAATGTGAGCAAAAAAGCAAAATAAAAAATAAGCAAAGCTTAGAAAGCCTATTCAGCAATTCACTATCCTGTGAAGCGAAGCTTAGCAGTAAAATGAGCAATGTCAAGCGTAGGGCGTGTCAATCAAAAGTGCTTAGTCATGTTATGTAATTTATGCAATGCAAACACTACGTAAAAATAAGCAAGAAATGATTGCATATACTAATGAAAACGATTAATTCTAATGAAAACAACTAAATAAGCAGGAATGTAATGTAAATGGATTGAAGATATGAAAATGATTGTGGGAATGAAATGGATGATTATGAAAATGGAATGAAATAAAGGAAAATGGAACAATCTCACGGGTTTTCTTTGTAATCCTCTGATGACTGCTGCGTGTAGAATATTGTACTATATCAATCTTCTGTACACGGTGTCAAACCAATTTCCGATGTTCTTTGTTCTCGTTGTCCGGCTCGAAATACCAATGACGTAAACACCAACGATGGCTCGAAGGATCAATGATGGCTCGAAGTGGCTCGGCTCGAAATGGCTCGGCTCGAAGGACCAATGATGGCTCGAAGGATCAATCCGGCTCGAAGGACCAATGTTGGGATCGGTAGCTCGGTGGAGACAATTAAAAAGCGGTGGACTGTATAAATGATGTGTATTGTTCCATATAAACAGGTACGCGTGTGCGCGTCGAGCGATGTCGCAGCTCACTAATGGACCGGGCGTTGGCCGCCGCGGTGCCACCTCTCTCGCTCGGGCAGTGATTGCTGCGTCCCTTTCTGGATGACGCAACAGTTACAAATCCGAATCATATTTATAGTGAAGAACTGTTCCAGAACTCTATATTTGACTCAAAATCGACTTTCCTCTTATAAGTACATACTTTATAATGAAAATCATTGTGTTTTTGTTTCTCTTGTCTTTGTTTTATCTTTCTCTTTTAAGACACAATCCTCCCCAGAAGCTGCCATGTTTATTATTCTCTTATCTTTTGCTTCAAGCAAGTTTTCCTGCTACCTTTTTAACATATGATTGTAGTTTTTTCCAGCCTGCTTTAATTTCTACCATCTATGTCTAGGATACCTTTCTTTTAAGATATAATATAGTTTACAAAGATGTAGATGTAGCCAGCGTTTCAGTTTACAAGTTAGGTATATCTTAATGTTTACACTTCGAAACTTATATTGTCTAGAAATAACAAATAGTGGATATTTAAATTTTTTATCGAATCCTAGTAGTTTGAAGCGATTTTCGGCCTTAAAACACAACATTAGATGAATTTTACAATTATTAAAAATTCTGCACTGAGAATAATCAGAAATATGTTTTTATCGTTTTCATTTTATATCTAAATATATTTGAATAAACTAAATACAAACCGCGAATTGATACAAACCCAGTTATGATTTTCGTTACAAAATTCTGAAAAATGCGTAGACAGGAATAGAATTTGCTATTCCCAGTATCAAAAAGGTGTCAGCCACAAGCATTCCATGGATTTATTATTAAGAATAGGTTAATACCTCCTTAAATCATGTAAAATGTAGAATATAACTAAAAATCGAATTAAAAAATTTAAATATAAATTATAAACATAAATATAATTATAAATAAACATTGATAAAAGGCTAGAATTCAGTGCAAAATCTGAGAACTTTTTTTTATTCTGCATATTAAATGTCAGAGTTCTTAATGTCTTATGTCATTGTTGACGCTTCGCTCCAACATTTAATTTTTAACAATATTTATTGCCATATTTCTTAAAAATCTTAATGATAATTTAATCCTTGTATTGTTAGCTTATACTATTTGCGCTGTAGCTTGCTGCGGGTGACATTTGCATGTATGACGTTGATATCTGTCAGTACCATATGACTAGTGATGTTGCGTAATTCATTTTTATCACTAACGATACTCGCAGTATAAATAATATAGTACTTTTATAAAATAATTAAAATCGGGTTTATGATTTTTTTTCGTTTCAACATTTTTGCTCAATTTCAACAGATGATGAATTTAGTGACAATTCAGATGTTCTGATATGAGTTTAGACGAATAAAATGATTTTTATATAAGATCTGTTGTTTCATTAATATAATTATAGACTTTTTACAATATTAATTGAACTACAGCCAATATATGTATATTTTTTTATTATAAAAAAAAAACATCGACTATCCATTGTAGCAGTACATCCCATCACTAAATACGTCTATGGCATTACGTTAAACGCATAATACTTTGCTTAATTTTTCTTTCCATTAGATTATATTTATACACTAGAACATTCTGGTTTTTTTTAAATTTAAACTACTTCAGTAATGAATGATTTAATTTATTACGAATGTGGTACAGCTGAAATACTAAGTCATAATTTGTAAATCGCGGCAACTTTCAAGAGTGAAACGAAACGTTACTGAAACTGTCACCCGCACCATGCTACTGCGCAAATAGTATAATAAATAAAGATTTCTTTATAAAAATAGTTTGATGGTTGTTGAACAAATGTTTCCTTTTTCAACATTAGGGATTTTCTAAGATAATTCAAAATGATATTATTTAACAATATTTACACCGTGTTTTTTTTAGTCGATATTAAATGTTACTTTTGACAATATCGTTCGTTTTTAACAAAACCTTGCAGTTCTGTTTAACTCAACAATAATAATGGCACATTATGATTTTAAGAATTTCATGTCAACTAAGTTTATTGATGATTTCGGAAAAGAATTCAAGAAACATGAAGTGCTTTGGCAATCATACTTACTTATGGACCCAAATCGACTTAAGGTGAAGGATAAAATATTTCTATGCATAGATTCTTAAATAATCATAAAGTTAAAAAAGTCAATTTCCTTGTGAAAAACGAAATTACAGACCTTCAAACAAACGATGAAGGAAGCAATGTATTTTTGGTCTTAATATGAATATTTTAATTTTTAATTGAAATTTTAATCAAATTATATTTAACAAGATGCCATTTTTTCTAAATGATCGTACAAGCAATTTATTTACGTTTAAAAAAAAGTGTATTCCATTTCATTGTTTCAGTTTGCGAAGAAAAAAGCATACAAGAGTATTGCATACAAACTCAACTTGACGGTGGACATGGTCATTGAACTGTTAAAAGATTTCCCAAATGTTTGCTTCGACATGTTGAAAAAGACGTTCACGAAGAAATATAATGTGGTACGGTGATGTACGATGATATAGAACTATTATAGACTTAAAGAAAATTGTCGGTAAAATAGTAACTAACAGACACTTTCCGTCCGTGATCTTGCTTACTATGAAATAATTGACACATTCAGATATTGGAAAATATAATAATATATATATCTAAGCTTATATTTTATCACTCGATCACATAAGAGTATTTTTAAAATGATCAATTTGTGATCTCATCTTTTGTAAGAAGACCGCTCTTTACTCCCATCTAACCACATATTGCAATTAAAATAAAAAATCCATGTAGATTCAAATTTAAGTATAAAACTAACAATTTTTGACTTGTTCTAAAAACCTTATACATTTTTATGAAGAATTGCAATGTAGCTTATTTTACAAAGATATTGTGATTTGACTAAAAATTTATTATTAATGCATTACCTATTTTATATATGTAATTTGCCTTGATAACATAAATATGTATTTGTAAATTTATTTATATATAGTCAGTGGTGGCCTAATGGTTAAAGGGTCCGCCTCTCGTTGCCGAGGGCGCGGGTTCAAACTTAGCAAGTACCAATATGATTTATCGGAGTCATATGTACATTCTGAGAGTATTTAGACACCACTGACATACGGAGAAGGAAAACATCGTGAGGAAACCTGGACTTATAGTTTCACAATTATAAGTTTGAAATCACCAACCCGTCTTGAGCAAGCGTGGTGATTAATGCTCAAACCTTCTCCATGTGAAAAAGAGGCCTTTGGTCAGCAGTGGGCGCTGATAGGCTGATGACGATTTATATACTAGCTTTCCGCCGGCAGTTTCGTCCGGGTGAAGTTCCTTTATATCGCGTTTCCAAGAGAACCTTTCAAAAGTCTGGTATAAAAACTATCCTATGTTCTTTCTCAAGGTCAACTCCATCTCTGTATCAAATTTCATTAAAATCAGTTCAGTGGTTTAGGCGTGAAAGCGTAACATACAGACAGACAGAGTTACCTGCGCATTTATAATATTAGTAGGGATATTTTGTTATTTATATGTTTTCTTCACAGTCAGGTTCCAGTGTGTCTGAAAGTCCGAAACAGCAGTTGCCCAAATGGCTGCTGTATTTGATGATGAAGTCTGATATGTTTGAGAAGATAAAACAGGTAACATATAACATATATTATCACACTATATTCATTCATTTAGTCAACCTTAAAGGGAACTGGGGGCCATTTTCGGTTTTGTAGTGCCATAAGGAGGTTTTTGGCCTTTGGAGGGTTTTCATAGGGTTTGGTTTCGAGTTTTCCTTCTTTATTCAATGGTTATCACACTATATGCCACTCCATAATTACTATAATACACTACGACAACCAATAGTTTGTATTTTCAAACTACATACCTAAAGTGTCCTGTTTTTCATAAACAATTAGTCCTCATGTATAGTTCTTTACAGTATACTCTGCATATTATTTTATATTTTATAAGTATTATTCTACAGTACATTTAAACATATTTAGACTATCTGGTTAAATTTTGCCAACAGAATTTGTGTTATAGTATTTATTTTATATTATTTACAATATATTTTAAAATAGACCTTATACTATAAGTTAAGTGAGTACAATTTCTATTTACCTATACCTGAGAATTGACCAACAGTATAAGCTAAAAGATATATTAATATATACCATAGAGTTATTATATATGTTTTGTCCGTCAGAAATATGGTATATCAGCCCAGGGATTTTGGACTATAATAATTCTTATGAATATTAATACTCAACCTCATATCTTTTTTGTTGAACCAATATTATAAATTAAGGGTAGATGCACCTTCTATTAATATTAATTCTGACTTTTATAAATACATTTGTAAAATCTTCAACATGTACCCAATATTAATCGAACATCACATTGGTACTAGCCAGGTTTCGAACCCGCGGCATCATGAACGAGAGACTAATCTCTACGCCACCACGACTTATCGTTATTCGAATAACATTTTTCAATATATATTGTTTCAGAATGAGCAACACAAAACGGTAACTGAGTGCCATGAACCGGAAGTCTTGATCCAGGAATTGTTGACCAGTGTGGAACACTCGCTCGAAGTTAGTTACGGCAAGATATTTAGATTGATAGGACCATGTGCTGTGAAATACTTCGCAAAGAAATATGGAGTGAGTGTAGCTGATGTTGTACCAGTATGGTGAGTTACACAACTCCATGTTCTTAAAATAATTGCACAAGCAATATAATATAATCATAACACTATGTTGATGGATGGAAAAACGTAATCCTACTATGTAGTATTATAATTGCGAAAGTTTGTGAGTGTATGTATGTTTGTCACTTCTTCACGCTCAAACAGCTGAACTGATTTTGATAAAATTTTGTATACAGGAAGCTGACGTCCAGGAGCTGACGTCCAGGAATAACACATAGGCTACTTTACATCCCGGAAATCCGCGGGTAACACCGCAGGGCGCAGCTAGTATTTTTTATTATTTTTTTGGCTTAAATTGTTATATTTTTCCAAAAATTCTCTCACTAGATTATGAATGATTAATTAGTTTGTTCTAGATTGTTCTATCACGACAGTAATACTGTTAATTTTGTAAAACTATGTTTGTAGCATAAAACCTATACTTAACGTGCTCTTTTCAATGAATTTTCCATTCCATATATTCTATTTTAATATTTCTTCCCGAAAGATCATCGGTGGATTATTTTTAGTATTTTTTTTGAAAGGCTCGAATGCAAGGCATCTACAACTTGTGCTTGCTAAAGTTGAAAGCGCTGCTTAATTCGAGCAGTCATCTCCACGATGTACCGGGAACACTCAGGCTGAATCATGAAGAGTGGAAGGTCACTGACCTCATACTTCTGTGCTCGCATGAATTACAACTCATTCATTTGGTGAGTTTTCATCAACTTTTATATACATTACATCGAAAATATTTACTTGAATATCCTTTTTTTTTTGGTCACAGTCAAACTTTTCGACCGGACGGAATCACAGTTCGCTGATTCTTCTTTACAAACTAATGGTTGCTGCTAGAACTTTTTATTCCCAAGAATTACAAGTTAATAAAATTGGAAACGCCGAAAAGGATGAAAATAATGATAAAAATAAAAGTGAAAATGATACAGAAAAAGTATTGGATGATTTGAATAAAAGTAAACCTAGTCAAAAGGTTACAGATGAGGCAGGGAATAATGAGAATGCACCAAAAATAAATCAAGCGAATGGTATTGATATGGAAAATGATAGAAATTATGCACAAACAAATAACTCTAAAGATGTTTCAACCAGTGGCGGCTGGTGGGTTATCGAACTGGTGGTTCACTTTACTAAAATATTGACAAAAACAACAATTGACATAAAATATGTTTATTTTTTGTACATTAAATCAATGCGACGACATTTTTCTGTAGCGAAATGTTCTATCACCTTTTTATTAAAATCTGATTCCAGTTTCTGTCCAAATCGATTCTCCGCCAAAAATAATGCAAGGAAAACAAAAGAATGTATTAAGACGCTCACATCCACACAACCATTTCTTTCTATTATACATTTCACTTTTAAAACTTCGTATAAATGCTTTATTTTTCGATTTACACTCTTGTTTTAAATTTAAAAAGGGCCGTGGCGGCCCGGCCAATTTTATGTTCACTTTACTTTGAAAAATTTTGTTATTTTCTTTAATATAATCAATATTTATACTCACTTTCAACTAATAAAAAACACAGTACAGAATAAAAGTTCTATTATAGAAACGAAATAAAAAACTAAAACGAATTACGGAAATAATTATAAACAATAACGAATTAACGCGTCACACATACAGTGAAAGTTGAAACAATACCAATAACGATTAACGAAATGTCAATCATAGCACCCATCCTTTCGGCCGGCCCCTTGCCGGCCGGCTCAATACGTCATACATCGGGTGCTCTCGGTAACCTTCGGCCGCTTCGTGCGGCGCGCGAGAACCGACTCGTTACTCGGTACATTTCTATGAACTATCTTTTGTCTCACGCGCCAGGCGTATTGATGCGTGTCTCATACAAGATGTATTAGCAGTCCTCGTGCACTCGCCGGAGCGCACGATATGAGTTTAGTAAAGCGCTCAAACTTTTTGACCATAATTGGAAATTAAATTTTTTATACCTTTTTGTATGTTTAAAAAATAAATATTAAAATGGTGATTTAAAAATTAAGATGACATAATATTTTGTAATTTTTAAATATTTTGAATTGGTGGTTCAGCGCACGGGCGCACTTAAGGTACAGCCGCCACTGGTTTCAACGATACTTTTAAAGGTGGAAGGTATAGACGAAAACAATTGGTACGGAAAACCTGAGGAACAAAAAGTTGTGTGGGCGTTGGTTTACACTGGGTTCATTAACCGGTATGTATATGAATCTTATATTTTTCGGATTATACTGAGCTTGTTTTATTATTGTAAAAATAGCATACATTTCTTATCGCTGTTTTGTACACAATTATTGTTGCTTTGAGGGCATGTTTTAAATTTATTGTTTAAAGCAAAATTTATTCTAAGAATATATTAAACTATGTACCTAGTAATACATTTACTATGATTGTCGAAATTTAATTAAAATATGTTTATAGTCATAATTTTCTCGAGTAAGTGAAATGTAATATCTTTTTGAGAAATAAAGTATTTTTAACCATACATACTCAATAACTAAATACTTAATTTAAATTAATACTCGCGAAAGTCTTACATCTCATTATAATCGTTATACAGGGTGACTGGTGAATTACTATCGATATTTGACGATCATATATGACAAAATAAAAATTAATCTATATATATAAAAGAAAGTCGTGTTAGTGACTTCACTTATAACCCAAGAACGGCTGAACCGATTTAGCTGAAAATTGGCAGGGAGGTAGTTTAAAACCAGGAAATTGCAATAGGATACTTTTTATCCCGTTCGACAGCATTCCCGTGGGACTTGACATGAAACGTCAGTCACTATTGTATGGGTTGATACCACACACCCTTTAGATATGATAGTTTATGGAGACCAGCAAGTTTGTGAGTATCGCGTTTAGGTAATGAGGACGACCTGTTTATTTGAACGCTTTATTGATACTGACTAAATTATGACAATGCTTACATTTATATATGCTTATTAATGTGTACGTACAATAAAATTATGTTAATGTATGGGTGAACCCATACAACTATAAAACGTGGAATAACACAATTGACAGCTATGCAATTGACGTATAATGACAGATATGTAATGACGTATGGATGACAATTAGATATTTGTAAGAAATCTACTATATAAAAATAAAAATATTTAGGTATTGTGTTTGTAGTTTGAACTCTTAAAACCATTTAGTATTTGCGGGATAAATTTAGAAAATCATTGTTTTTCACATGGGCAGTTATATTTTGCGTGTTCACGAATTTGGAAACCGTACGCTTTATTTGTGTTAAAGTTAGACCAAAAAACAAAAAATGTGGTTTACAAAGGAGCACTTCAATGAAACGGATAATTTGTGGACACGTATAACGCTTCGATTCGGTATCTACTTTGGATTCACTTTCATTTACTCAGAGAAGTTCAACTAAATAACACTTCATTTTTGTAATCGCAATGAATTCATTACTGTTGTGAAATGAAATAAAAATTTTCCTTTTCAAATATAAAACAAAAAATTCTTCATCTTGTAATCACCAAACGAAATGTTATATAAAAGCCTTCTGGTGGCGAAACGGAGTTCGCCAGGTTTACTAGTATAACATAAATATTAATTAACTTCTAAGTAAAGTTAACCAAAAGTTATGTAATTAATTACGCATCGTATGAACACCCTGCAGATTAGGTATACACACACACACATACGCGTGCGGCGGCGTGGTGTTGTATCAGCACGCCGCCGCACGCGTCCACACTTGGAACACTTGGAACGTGTCCACACTATTTATTTATACGGAAATTTGGTCAAAAATTAAGTACGGAAATTTGGTCAAAAATTAAGTAATTTTTTTTACATAATTCGAATGAGTATCATGTACCGAGTATTCTCCTTAAATATTGATAGTAATTGACCAGTCATCCTGTATACTGAAAACGTGATAACGGGCAGACGAGATGAGAATGATTCTCATAGTTTTCTAACTAATAAAATGAGTTTATTTTCAATAATACTCTCGAAAACCTATATATATATATATATATATATATATATATATATACACACTTCCTGTATCTCGTTCCAGGTATAGTCCGTAAGAACATGAAGACCTGGACAACCTCAGTGACCTGTGCATCTCCAACAAGAAGGCCATCGCTGTCACACAGGAACTCATCTGCAAGAGTGTGTTGTGTGTTAACAATGCTGATATACTCATAGAGACCAGGTACTGAATTTATTTACGGTTCACAAAACAGATTATAACTAAAGATACTATTAATTGATAAATAAACATTATACATAAGCTGAGTTATAACCCAACGACTATGTGAACACGGATTATAGACTATATGTCACTTATAAAATCAAAAATACATAAGCACTTAAAAATACATTGTATAGATATAAGAAAAGACATTTACAATAAATAGAAAGAATATTTTACACAGAAAAGTATGAACAAGTCACAGCAATAAAAAATAAAATGAAATTATAAACTGGTGAAGTGAGTAACTAAATAATGGATAAGAAAATAGATTTAATCATTATTATTGTCTGTTAATTCAAACCAATTGTTTTTTTTTAATAGAGATAGGTTATTGTTTAAAATGTCAATACTATCAATCAATTAATATATAACAAGCAACTACATATTTAATCTTTGTAAATTAAATGTGAGTTAAAAAATGTAACCGCTTTTCACTAATAGAATATAGATGTATGTAGTATTGGGTCATGCACTAAAATAATTATAATATCCATAGAAGTATAATGAAGGAATCATTACACAGGTTAGTGCCAGATGAGTCGAGCGACGGAGACGGTGGGGAGGTGATGCTGTACTGGAACAATAAACAGGTTCGTGTAGACATGGTATTATTGTGAGCGAGGAGAATAAATGTTACCTTGTGTTATTAAAGATAGGACTTAAACGTTAACATCGTCAATTTTTGCCTTTATCATATTAGTTCATGCGGACATATTTTTTGAGGTGGTAGAGCCTAGCTGTAGTCAATTTACTATAGCTCGAACATGGGCTGGCTCGACCGGGGAAGTACCACCCTCTCACAGAAAATCGGCGTAAAGTAGTCTTTAAAGGCTGCGTTTCGTCCGGTGAGTGAGAGAGCCGGTTGCCCTTTCCCTTTTCCCAACCTTTCCTTTCCCTCCCTTTCCCACCTTTTCCTCCTCCTTTTCCCCAATCAAGGGCGGCAACACATCCGCAAATCTACGTTGCGGATGTCCATGGGCGACGGTAACTACCTACCATCAGGTAGGCCGTCTGCTCAGTTGCCCCCTTTTCCCATAAAAAAAAAATAAAAAAAAACTTATCCGACCTAATACAAAAACAACTCTACACCAGCATACATAATATACTTTTTTATGTTCTATCTTGACAATAAAGTACCTTTCAGTAAGAAAAGATTAAGTGTTTTATAGAAGTATATATAATTATATATTTTTGATTCTAACAATATAATTAAAAACTATAGTTGTTTTGTGAAGCCAGTACTTCTAAATCACATAACCTTAATTAGAAAAAAACTATTATCTTAAACCAAGACACCTTCAATAAGTTAAGTTCAATATATAAATACACAAGTTGCATAGACAAATATTTTCCCGCGTAAAATTGAACAAACCAAATGTCATTGCTTAAGGTCACTTTGGGTGCGTTCGGGAATTTAAAGCTTTGGTTCAAATTGAATGTTTGTTCCCTACATATATACCATAGTAATTTTTAGTTTCCTTTGTCAGTACTTTAAAGTAACAATACATTTTATTAAATAATAACGACTTTTTAATCACTCGAAAAGTGTACTTTGATACGATATTTTATTGATTCACGATTCTGATAAAGAGCTGATTTACCCAAACAAAATATAGTTTTTGTCATAAACGTCGTAAGCATAGCGAAAACTACGAAGTATCTCTAAAATGTAGAAATATCTTTCAAATCAATTATCGCATTATGACCAAATGAAAAAAATAATAAAATTATTACCTATTCAGATTTCAGATAGCAAAATGAAGAATAAAAAGTCACACTCGTTGTGATCCATGTGCTAATAGTCCACGATGCTAACTAATATAACTAATATTTTCAGATTTCTACCGAAACGTCGAGATAACATAAAATACGTTTAGTACATCCGAAAATATTAGTACCATTTAAATGAATACTCTCTAAAGCCTCAGATATCATGAACAACTATAACATGATCTCCAGATGCAAGTCCAACCCGGTGTTATCCCACGAGGTCCGCGCGTCCTTCTGCCGCCTCATGCTGCACCTGCACGTGGACCGCGACCCTCAGGAGCCCGTCACGCCCGTCAAGTACGCGAGGCTGTGGGCTGAGGTCGCCGCCACCATACGAGTGAACGAGTCGGTACACACACACACACATCAACTTTAACACACACATGCAAACACCCCGCGTGTCAGGAACAGGAGTCAGGAGTCCGTGGTCAGGATCGGCCCCATATAAAGGAAAGGAAACGAAAATCCTTACGAAACCCATTATGTGTGTACAAAAACCTGCAATTTTTTTTAATAAGTTAGCTAATTCAACCATCTGAATCGTCAGAATTTAACCATCTTTAATTCCGGAACGCGTTCCTGTCCAAAAAGGAAGTACCGGATTATGTTCTGGAGCGTTCCAGCTCAACAACACCACTGAGAAAGACACTCATACATACACACATACAAGGCACACACAATGACACTACGATAAAATATAAATACATGTATGATATCAATTATTTTCATTACATTAATCATTAATTAATTCTGCCACAGCTGTCAATGCGTGAAAGGCGGTCAGGACGCGACCAGGAAAAAAGTGAAGAAGCAGTTCGAGTCCACCATAGACTTCGTTGAGGACTACTTGTGTAAAGACGTGACTAGGACGTGGTACTTGAGCGACCACGACCAGAACAAGTTGACCTTTGAGGTCGTTAAACTGGCTGGAGAATTAATTTACTTTGGGTTTTATAGGTAAGATGTTGATTTGTAGTTAAACAAATTCATATAAATATTCTTTTTCAATAAACTGACTTCTACTTCATATATATGTTTTAGTCTCCGTGATGATAGTACTGACGCTAAAATATACTAGCGATGTGTTAAAATACGTATTGATATCGAAAAACTATTACTTTGCTTATATAGAGCAAGATAATGTTAGTGAAAACACAATTAAGAGAGGCTATAGTTTGTGAGCTGTTAATATTGTGCAGATGATTATATTAAAGAATTATAATACCATGATTTCTCTAGTTCACTTCATTTGTCTATAAATGTATATTTTTCAATAAATAATATAAATTTGTCCATAATTTTCTAATTTAACACAGCTTCAGCGATCTTCTTCGGCTGACAAAACCTTATTGTCTTCTTGACTGTGTGACTGCGATCGATCTACTGAACGAAACGAACGCCCTCGCCGGAGAAGTGGAATGTGAGTTACATTAAATATAAACTAAACAAGATATACAGGGTGACTGGTGAATTACTATCAATATTTAAGGAGCATACTCGGTACATGATTCTCATTCGAATTATGTAAAAAAAATAGGTACTTAATTTTTAACCAAATTTCCGTATAAATAAATAAAGTGTGTACACGTTCCAAGTGTTCCAAGTGTGGACGCGTGCGGCGGCGTGCTGATACAACAACACGCCGCCGCGCGCGAGTGTGTGTGTGTGTGTGTGTGTGTATACCTAATCTGTAGGGTGTTCACACGATGCGTAATTAATTACATAACTTTTGGTTAACTTTACTTAGAAGTTTATTAATATTTATGTTATATTAATTTTTATTTTGTCATATATGATCGTCAAATATCACGTCCTCAAATATCGATAGTAATTCACCAGTCACCCTGTATATTTATGTCTGACCAAGATTTATATATTTGTTGCAGCGGAGGGGGAAGTTCTCCGGAGTGTTGGCGATATGGGAGCAGTCATGACCTCCATCACACTCGGACCTGGAGCATTAAATGTAAATGTAACAGAAAACACATAAAAACTATATTAAGGTCAGAACCAATTACTAATATATAACTCCAATAATATTCACTTAGTTTGAAACCACTGTAAGAACAAAAAATATCTGCATTTTTGACCACAATACTCCCTAAAAAACTTGTTTCTTACTGAGATTTACAATTATTTAGTCGATTTATATATAGGAATTTATGTTGTTATTTAGAAAAATTATGTTTTTAAGTGTTGATTATACTATAAAGGATAAATCAAGACTCAGTATTTGCAATCGAAATAACCAAAATGTATGTTCTATTAGCAGGTGGTGGGCGGAGGGCCGGCGTCCTCGCCGCCCGTCAGCCTTGGCCCTGGCCCGGAAACATCCACTAGTGATGGAGACCAAGCTGAAGATTATAGAAATACTGCAGGTACGATACTGATAACAGTTCTGGAGATGTTACAACAACCGACACACATACTCAAAGCAAACGCACTCTTAGCTATTTATTTATTTTCTTTGAAAAACAAACTTAACTATGCAATTTACAGTAAACGTTGACGTCCACACTAGGCTAGGCCTGTGTCGTGGAAAGTTATACTCTAATTCTTAATTATATTTATATAGATACTGATCTAAATGTTTGAATGAAACTAACTTTTTTTATGATAAAATCAAGTGTAGTAAAACGAAAATATTGGTTTATTTAAATGAATATTCACGAAAGTCTTAGATCTCAGTATGATTAAAAGGTTCTTCAAAATTTGTATTGTACGGCTAAACTAACAATTCTTGGAAAGTATTTACTGTTTTACAAGTTTAAGAAAAACGTTTCTTCAGCTTGATACTACTATTATACTGACCAAAATAATACATTACTATGAAAGTGACCCAATATATACAAGAAATATTCTCCACAGTTTATCCTGGACGTTCGTTTGGACTACCGCATCAGCTGTCTGCTGTCGACCTTCAAGAAGGCCTTCGAGACCTCCTCGCCGGACGCTCTCGGTCGAGTGGACGTGGAGGCCATAGGACTACAGGACGAGGGGATCTTCAGCTGTCGGTATGACACACACACACACACACACATACATACATACCAACACCGA